CGGAGCGGTTCGGCCAGTTCTGGGTCTGCAAAGCGAAGCTGCTGGCCCGCGCGGGCCCCTTCGACGCCACGGGGCTCTACAAAGACGCGGTGTGCGCCGGGGCCGTGGTGAGTACGGAGCCCTTCTCCTCGGCTGTTCCCCAGCAGCTTCCCAGGACATCCAGGGGCTTGGATTTGGGAAGCAGCAGCGCTGGGTTTTGGTGAAACCTCCCTCTTAAGCTGAAGCCATTTGCTCCCAGAAAAAAAGGCACCCTGGGCTTTAATCCCCAGGATAATGCTGGGCATTTGCTGCAGGAGGAAGGGGAAAATGAGTGGTTTTCTCCCAGCTGTAGCTTGGAAGCAGCCCGATCTGATGGAAAATTTGCAGCCGTCCAGTGTTGTCCCCAACACGGGGGCAGCCCCAAAGCCGTCCCGCTCTCCCGTCCTGGAGCGCGGCCTTTGTTCCCAGCCTTGACCTGCCCTCGCTTTCCTCGCAGCCGCTGCAGGAGCTCCGGGAAGTGATTGTCGGCATTTTGAAGAGCAGGAAGAGGACGTGGGAGGGCGACGCGTGCCCGGCAGGGCCGGCCGGCCTGTGCAACGCGGGGGAGGCCGCGTGCTCAGCGTGTCCCAGCACCCCGGCTGAGTGTGACAGGCCCCATCCTCCTCCAGGACATGGGGGTAAGATTCCTGCACGGCGCTGGGCCAGTGACACCTCCAGAACACGAAGCCGTTCCCGGTGCCGGAGCGCTGTGCTGGGGTGACCCCTCCAGAACTGCAGCTTTCCTCCTGCTCTCCAACCACGCTGCCCTTTTCCTCTCTCCTGTCAGGGGAACAGGCGGAGCCGCCTGTTCTTTGCGAGCCCGTGACACCGTGTCCGAGCGAGAGGCTCCACGCGCCGGAGACTCCCTGCCTGACGGGAAAGCGCCTGCCCGGCTCCTCAATCAAGTTCCAGCTGCTCTCCATCTCCAGGTGAGGTCCCCACCTCGCTCCCCTGCCTGTCCCTGCTGCCACATCTCCTGCCCATCCCATCCTCTTCCCGCAGTGAAGGCCGCGAGTGGAAGCTCCTGACGCCAGTGCGGCGCTCGCGGCGCGTGGAGTGGGCTGGGAGCCGCTACCCGCGGATGCTGAAGGACCACGACACCGTGGTGGCGTCTCTCAACGAAATCCTGGCCTGGGAAGAGGAGATCAAGCTCCTTTTTCGAAACAACAAGGCCTTGCCGGAGTTGGCAGAGCTGGAGATTTGGGATTTGTAGCCACTGTGTTGCTGGGCCTGGCAGCCTGTTGGCTCTCCTGTGATACTGCTTTTATGTTGCTTTTATTAACTACAAGTCTGAGCATCTTTTTACAAATAAAAAAGGGTTAAAAACACAAGAGTGGCCAACCCCAGGATGGGGACAGGGATCCTGGAGCTGTCTCCAAGCCCTCCCACTTGGTGTGACATCCATCTGTGACTACCTGGACACAGGTTCAGGGCCCAACATCAGCACGGGTGAGACGGGGGGGACACTGGGCATGGCCCCCCGTGGTGGCTTCAGGTTCCCGGTGCCACCTCCGCAGCAGGGACACAGGGACGGGCATCGCTGCAGGCGGCCTTGGCTGGTGCCACCGAGGAGCTGGAAGAGGCAGCTCAGGCTTCACCGTCCTAACCTTCCTTCCCATTGGAGCCCTGGAGAAGGACAGAGCAGGGCTCATGGGGATCCCATTGGTTCCAGGGTGTCCCCGCTCCGTCCCCCACCTGCAGGCCAGGGGGACCGGCGGCCGCCCCCCGGCCCCCTGCTCCCCTGTGGGCTTTTGCA